CCTGGTAAGGTCAAAGCACATTAACAGTTTTTGTTTCCCAAACAAATAGAAGAATACTATGTGTCTATGCAGGCCATCACAGGACTACTCAAACGAAGTTAAAGAAAACTTCCACTTTTCATTGTCTCATTTGGAAATCAACAAGAAAAGCTCAATCTAAGTCACTGATGGAAAGACATGTTACACGAAATAAAAAGAAAACCATTCACAACTCTCCCAACATGAGTTAAAAAAAACATCACCTTTTTTCTATCAATTAACAGGGCCATTTTCATGCCTTAAATTGGGTACCCATGGGAAACATGATACATTCAGAGCCTATTACTACTACCCTACCTGGTACAAGTACTCACTAGTTACTACTCAATAAGTAAATAATTAAATGAATGAATAAAGTAATCTGCCTACACCCTCAATTAGTATCTATCCAGTTAATCACCTTATAAAGGAAGTGAGAAGCTCCATTAAGGTTTGCAGCAAGAAGAAAGGATGAAAATAGCGAATAGAGAATGAAAATTTTATCATTGACACCTGGTTGTAAAGAAATGGAAGAGACAAAAACTAACATATACATAAATTGCAAAAGTTTACCGATTCAAAAACTAACCACTTCCAACAATTATGAACCAATTCAAATGAAAACCTGCTGCAACAATTACCAATTAAAACAAAAAACCAGCTGCAACACTTACTAACTAAAACAAAAAAACATGCTGCAATTTTAGAGTGTGTTTGAGTGTGGGTTGGACTTTTATCCGCTTGGTGAGGATCCCAAAGTCCTTAAAAGCTTGTACGTTTAACTGGTTTTATATTTTCCTTTTCTACACATGGTGTGCAGCATATTGTATGTTAAATCATTGCCAACCCTCTACCAAAAACCAGCAGCAACATTTACCAAAAACTAGCACCAACATTTACCAAAACCATAATGCAACACTTACAAATTAAAACCAAAAAACAGAAGCAACATTTTCCAAGTAAAACATAAGATGAATAAGCAGAAATATACTTTTATTCCTAAAAAGTTCAAACAAAAATCAAATAAAAATGAAATTAACCAAATATGCCAAAAAAGAAATTGAAACAATCAACTCACCTTTAACAATGCAACGCCGGGCCGGAGCAGTCGACGACAGGCACGCTGGGACGGAGCAGTCGACGGCACGTACGTATAAGGGACGACAGATCTCAGTCGGAGCCGGAAATAACTGCAGCAAGCGGCGGTGGAATACGGCAGATATCAGTCGGAGCCAGAAACGGCTGTAGCAACGGCCGGAAAGCAGTCGACGGCAGGTATGGCGCATGAGATTTCGACGTCCTTAGCTTCGTTCCGCCACGCCTTCTTTCTCCAGTCTCAACTTGCGTAACTTTGAAGCGCGGTCGGCCGGGTAGGTTTAGTCTTAAATATTTAGAGGTGCTTCTTTCTCCAAAGCGCTGCACGTTCAAAATTAAAAAAAAAACGGTTAGAGACTGGAGGCGCTTAGAATCCGAAAGCGCCGCACGCGGCTTGATTTATTAAATAACAAATAATTCGTAAACAATATGGAGGCGTTTTTTAGTATGAATCGCTGCACGCCTGTTTAAAAAATAAAAATAATAAAATTTTTGCCTATAACAGAGGCGCTTGTGCTAAAAAGAGCTTCCGATGAAGCGCCTCTGTTTGGCATTTTTCCACTAGTGTATATATCATTAAAACCATGATGCATTGGTATCACAAAAATCCTTGATACATATATATCACAGTTCTCTATGATGTTTATATGTCATAATTTTGTGACACAAAAGTGACATGTTAACGGTGACACTAAATTTAGTGTCACTAGCCTTGCTTTTCTGTGACACTTTCAGAGTGTCACTAAATCTTTTAGTGACACTAATTAAATGTCACTATAAGCCATTTTTTTACTAGTGCAAGTTGGCAGTAACACATAGTAGGTGATGACTGTCAAATATTATATGTACCGAAATAGAATGGCAATAATATTCTATATCCGTATGCATCAGAGGGACTTCTACGTTGGGCAAAAGGTACTACTCTTCAACTCAAGACTTCGCCTATTCCCCGGAAAACTCAAATCCCGATGGTCGGGACCCTACACAATCACCGAGGTCCGACCATACGGGTCAATGATGATTCAACACGGTGACCAACCACCTTTTCTTGTAAATGGTCACCGACTCAAGCCATACATGGAGTATCATATCACCTCGGCAACCTCTACCTGCCCTTTGGAGAAATAAAAGGAACGTTGTGTCCGACCTATGACGTTAAACTGAGCGCTAATTGGGAGGCAACCCAACAAAAATGATTTCAATTATAAATAAATATGGTTAGTCATACACATATTCATATTTATTCATAATTGAACAAAATTCAATTATAAATAAATATGTTCATTTACAAAAACATAATCATATTCATTTATAGTTGTAGCAAAAAAAAATATAGCCCAGAAACAACCGGCCCCAGTCAGACATAACAACCGGCGCCGGTCGCAAACAGACCATTTCCTTCGCACGCAACACACATAACCGGCACCCGACATCTTCCCAACAGGTGCTGGTCGGTCCGATTAAAACACCTCCCTGGTCGAAAACCGGACCTTATTTTTGAAATCCCTACCCAAATTTCACACCTCTTGCACCGGAAAACACCTCAAACCCCCCAAACCCGTTGCCCCAAGCCGTAACTCTTCCATAAGAGCTCTGAATTCACACTAAGGATCACTTCTCAAGCTTCTCCACCCCTATTTTGAGCATCAATTCAAGGTAATTTGAAACTTTAAACTCAAACTTCCATAATTCTTGAAATCTCGTCTTTCTTACGATCTTTGACAAAATAGATGTTTATAATTGTTGAATGTTGGTTCCTTGAGCTCATTTGGTATATATAAACATGATTCTTGTCAAAAGTTTTGAGATTAAAGTTCAAAATTAAGAGAAATTCTTGAAATTTTTTCTCAAGAACCCTAATATCCGAATTTCTTATTCATGGATGAATTCCTTTTTACAATTGATGTTTGGAAGAATGATGATATGACTTATGGTTGATATATAGTCTTCTAAGCACAATTGTTGCTAGAATTGTGTATGAACATGAAATTTGGGGGAAATTGAAGAAAGTTTTGTATTTTAAATTACCTTGAATTGATGACAAAATATTGTTTTGTGTGTATATGTTGGACTAATCATGCAGGGAAATGGCACCTAAGAGAAGAAACGATGCTAGCTCTTCCTCTTCTTCCATACCTCGTTTCACCTCTCCGGAGAATGAAGCTTGGTATGAGAAGAGGAAAACTTGGAAGATTGTGGTCGAAAAGACACTTGACCCTGAGATCAACACTCGCTACCAACTCTCAGAAGCATTTCACACGCTAAGGTGGGCCATCATGCTCACCTTGACCGGAGCGTTTTACCCACGACTCGTGTGGGAATTCTATGCAAACATTGAGAGGAAAACTGGCCCGTTTGGGAACATTGAGAGCACGGTCAAAGGTAAGAAGATCACGGTGAGCAAAAACCGCTTGTGCAACATACTTCAAATCCCCAACATGGGTTCTCCGGTTGAAATGAACTCCAAAGTAGTGATAACCGACCCTGCTTACGATGAGATAGCTGCAATGCAAGAATTTGGACTCGATGAAGAGCTCAGGGCCCGTTTTCTTGAACCCCGGGAGAGACTAATCGCATATCTTCTCAGCATCAACATCTTACCACGAGCTAGCGACACGCATGTACTTCGGCGAATGGACCTCTATCTTTTATACAAGATGACTCACGGACGTGGACAGCTCGAGGGTATTCCATTGGCTCCTTTCATCATGATGGATATGAGGGGCGTCATCAAAACCAAAAGAGGTGATAAAATTTTTATCTACCCTCTTTTACTCACCATGATATTCAGGGATTTCGGCGTTGACATCACAAATGAAGAGGTGGAGTACACATCCGGATCCCAAATCTTGAAGGTAAGTACTATGGTGTCTCTCCAATTCAAGAAGGTGGGTAATGCATGGGTCCGCAAGGACATGGACGAGGACAACGAGGACGCCGATAAAGAGATGGCGGAAGCATGAGCACAACCCGCAGCACGGCCACGACGGACCATGACACAGAACCTCGATTATCTCATTGACTCCATGGACCGCATGCACACAAGGATGGATGTCTATGAGACTTGACAAGAGGAGCTTTACACCCGCTATGATTCTTTTGAGGCCCGCCAAGTGAGAATCGAGAAACACTTGGAAGGATATGACCGCAGGTTTGAGCAATTTACCGACCACTATTAATGTCAATATGGGAACCCCCTCTCGGTCCACAATATTGAACCTCTTTTGTTGTTATTGTCTGTGATACAATCTTCTCTAAACACACTTTATCGTGGATGTTGATTGAAGTAATTGTTTATCATGCATCATCATACACTGGGACAATGTATCTTAAGTGTGTGCGGTGCATTTCATGGTAGTTAGACAAATTTTATGTGCAATTTGAGTTTGTGACTGTTGGGGATCATCTTTACAAGTTGAGTTTAGATGATCTGTAAAGAGAGAGTTTATATGCCTCTCTGAAAGATGATTTTAGGGTTTATTTTTACCTTAGGGAACATATTGGTACCCATTTCGTTTTTGCAATTGAAAACGGTGTGCAGATTGGACGAGTTTCATCGGTGTTTCTAATTTTTAAAAACAGAATTCCACCTCAAGTTTACATTTTTACCGATTTACAAAATATTGGTCACTTGAGAATTGGGATCGTTTAGGAGTGTTAACCATAAAGTTCTTGCTTAACAAGAATTAGATTAAGGTGGGATAAATGTTAATAGGTCAGATTTTTCATTTTGAAATTTGCTATCTTTGTAGAACAATTCCACTATAACTCAATTCGCAAACATTTAGACCATCACGGATCCACGAATGCCAATCTCTCAGAGTCACTACCCTTTTGTCCTTCCTGCTCGTTCCCAGATTTAATTCTTTGTTGTGTCATGTGTGTACAGGTTTAAAAGGTCTTGCTGTAGTGGATTCTCAGCGTGAAGAAACTTTCACAGGTTATAGCCCATATCCAGTAATATATATTTGTCTGATGGGAAAATTGTACTCTCTGAGACCATTCAAAAACGAGTTTGTTCTTGATCACTATGCCATGCTTCATATTTGAAAACTAAAGAAATTTGCAGCTAGAATTGGGATAAACATGGTGTCTTTTTCAGATGGGTGAGGCTCAGGCTCATGCAAATGGGGATAAAAAGAGAGTTGTTTTTGTGACTGTTGGGACTACTTGTTTTGACGCTCTAGTTAAAGCGGTAGACAGTCCTCAAGCTAGGAAAGAATTGTTCAAGAAAGGCTTTACAGATATTATCGTTCAAATGGGTCGTGGAAAGTATGTTCCCTCAAAGGTTAGTTTATAAACTATTTGATGGTTTTGATTTTGGATTACTCCCTACAAAACAGTTTACCAAAGAGTCATTTTTTTCAAAGACCTTTTGGCTTGAGAGAATTATAAATATTTGGATTTAGATGCAAAAAAAAGCTTAGGAGAACTTGTAGCACTCAGGTAGTTAGGGCTGAAGGGTCATTTAAGTCCATGCAACTATTCATTCAAGCTGTCCAATTCACCCCTCAATTAGAAAAGCCCCAATTAGAACCACTAACTGAATAGAATTACTAAATACCCCATTGGATGGCTTAAACCTGTTGTTTGCTATTCAGCAGGTACATACCAATGTAGCCTCTGTATCAGTTAGGATTGTTTAAATCACCCCTCAAGCTCAAAAGTGTCAATCTGGCACTTGACTTGCTCCAAAAGAAAAAAAGAACTGGTCAACTGAAACACTATATTTTCTTCAAATATTTCAAATGTTTAATTTTTGCTTCTACAAGATTTTGGTTCCCAGACTTTGATTTATGAGAAGTTGAACTTCTTATATCTTGATTTCTGCTTGAGTGGTAGGGTTCAAATGTGAGGCGATTGGATGAGTTGCCACTGTTATGTAATACTAAGATTGTTGCCGGTTTTTGTCACCGATAAGCTGGCCAATCTGAACAACAAGTTTGAGTTTGAATTCCAAGGATGAAGATGATTGCGATCATTGGTGTAACGAGGGAGAAAAAATTGGGGTGAGCCGGAAAAACATTTGCAGTTTTTAGAAATATTTATTTTAAAACATTTATTAACGAAATTGAGGTCGGATCTGTCCTGGTTTCTCCACGTATCTTGCCTAATCCTAGGGTTAAATATTTTAAACAAGAAGATAATGGCTGGACAATTTTTGTATTTGAGGGGGCCGGATTGAATAATTCGGATGGATACCTGGACCTGTTTGACCATTTAGTGTATCGAATGTATCAGAATCATAGAAATAATGAGCAACTGGGAGTTGACAAGCCAAGTAGGCTATTCATAAATTTCATATTTTTATAGGTTGGTGGTTTTAATTAGAACTTATTCTGATCGAAGGGGTGAATTAAACAACTTGGAGGAATCTATTTGGCCCTTTAGCCCAGTTGGGTGGGTGGTAAGAACTAAGAGTCTAACAAGCATTATTTGGCTATTTTATAAGTGGCAGAACAAAATAGCCAGCAGTTTTTAGTTCCATAGTTTTTTTTCCCACAGTAGCTACTTGTTCATATTGATTATCACATATGTTGTTGAAGCTGCTGTGATTTCTTATGAATTAAGAAAGAGCTTTGGTGTGCCTTGTTTTGACAATTCTCTCTTCATCACTGTGGAACTGCCTATACTTAACAGGAGGCCTGATATAAGGAAACCTAGTATTCACAGGAAGTCAGGATTCATCTTCACCCCCTTTACCCGTACTATGTTGTGTTGGTGGCAAAATGTATAATTTCTATTAATTGTCTAAAATCAGTTAAAATTAAATTCTCACAGGAAAAGCTTATTCACAATTTTTATGACGGATGCCCCTGTCAAACTTCTTGAAACAAAATTATTCTCAATATTATCAAATAAAATTGTACCTTGTCCACATTACCGAAATGCCTAATTAGCTTATTTTGTGTAGACATAAAAGCTGTTTAAACTCTAGACAAACTATATATAGGCTATGTAAGTAATGCAAGATGAGGTTTTGTTAGAGTATTAGATTGATCCATTGCAGATAGACTCTGTAACAACTAACTAGACAATATGGTTAACACCATCTGAAAGTAGCTATAAGTATTCATTTGTTAGAGAGTTAGTTACTTATGTTATGATCTTATTGCATCTTTTTATTGCTTGATTTAGTTACCAATTTAAATTATTCAGCGGGCTATGGAAAATGGATCCCCAGCTGTGGACTATTTCACTTTTTCACCAAGCATAGCTGAATATCTGAAATCAGCTTCTCTTGTTATTAGTCATGCAGGTTAGTTATGATTCAATGTGTGTGTATTTTTATTCATCGATGAGCAATTTCCCTCCATTCTTCATGTTGTTTACAAGTCCATTCCTTTTGCATTAAATTATTTCTTTTGCAATGGAGCCAAAAACTCATTATTTTTTTGGCTTGGAATATGATGGAATAAAGCAAAATGGCTTACTAAACTGTTTGCGCTTCTTTGTTATGAAGCAGTCGTCGGTCCATGTAATTTTCGACGCGCTTTCACTATAGGTCATCCGGAAAGTTAGAAATAGTCTCTTTGCGCTTTAGTACAGGGGCAAGGTTGTGTACATGTGAGCCCCTTACCCCACCGTAGGTGGGAGCCTTTGTGGCACTGGGGTAATTATGATGATGATTTACTCGCTCTCTCCCTTTTTGGGTATGAAAGGATCCCAAAAAATTCAAGGTTATTTTCTTTATTTTACCTTGGAAGATGTCAGGGAAATAAAATGTGTTTAATGCTTTAAAAAACCCTGCATATGTTTAGAAATTCAGATTTCCTAGTCCTTGTGTAAGGATGTTTTCTTTTGGTCCGTTTTCAGTCCCAGACCAGACTTAAACAAACCAGATCATACTTCCATAGTTATAGAATACACAAAAACCAAACCAGATTTGAACAAATCAGACCAGACCAGACAAGCTAATTGAGTGTGAACCACATTTTCTTTCCTTCCAAATCTCTCCCATATATTTCTCTCTATATTCTTTCCCTATCATTTAATTCCAAACAGACCTTTGTGTGTCCTATTCCCCATGAAATATGGTTTTGACTTGAAATGCAAGAAAAGCAATCTTATGAGTCCCTTTTTGTGTTTCACCTTACTCATATCTCTAGCATTTTGTCCTGCCCATAAGTACAAGGATCACATACTTACCTGTGATTTCCGTTCCGGTACGCGCGATCCGATTCGAGGTACAATCGCGTTCGGAACGCAAGATGATGGAGTATATGGCCCGGGAACCCTCGGTCCACAGACTCCTACTACTCCAATAAAGGCCCAATAGGCCCAGGAAGCACAACAGGCCCAAATCACAGCGCCTAGAGTACCAAGCAGCCCACTGTGCGCACTAGGGGTGCCTTCGGCCCCCTGGCCGAAGGCTCCAATTCTCACAGGAGGGCCAAATCAGGAAAACAAAGTTACTGGGAGAAAACGGCAAAAATCAGTAGCCCTCGGCACCTAGAGCCCTCGGCACTAAGGAGGTCCCCGGCACCTAGAGCCCTCGGCACTAAGGAGGTCCCCGGTACTCAGAGCCCTCGATCAATCATCTACAGCCGAGGGCCCCTTTTCCGACATAATATCCGTTCCACATGCGCATGGATCACCGTACCAAGTACGACGTCACATCCAACAGCCGCATTGAATGCGGCCACATGCGATTGCCAGCGCCAACCAGTTGAGGTGACCCCTCGGCCAATGGATGCTTGACACATGTCCCTGTCCGACATTTATTGCTACTATAAATAGCACCCCATTTCCCTGTTGTAAAGCACGCTCAAAAGCCTTAACTTACATATTCAATACACCTTCTCTCTCTTACTTGCTCTGACTTCTCTCTACTTATTCCCCGTAATAACCCCTCGGATAGATACCCCCGGTTACACTTATCCATCACAAGAGGTTCAAGATTTCGGTACGACGGATCCAGATTGAAGTTCGCGTACTACTTCCGGTGGGTACGCCGATTCTCCTTCATCCCCTTCGCCGTTCCTGTCAGAGTCCAACGAACCGGCAGTCCAGAAGTCGTTATTTTTGAATACTATTATCGAACTCCCAGGGTCGCCGGTTGAACTCTTCGCCGTTCCAGGAGCTTCGTACCTCATGTAACTAAACGACCCGACTCTTCATTCGTTAGTGTGAAACGACTTTATATTCGTTTATCACACTTAACGTTCCAGGCATTCACGCCTATTTAAGGCCTTACTCAGTGTACTCAGCATATCAACTATCAACCTCTTTGCACCTCTATTCTTACTCTGTAGTTCTGTAGTTCTGTACTCTGTACTTTGCTTCTTTGCCTCTATTCTTTTCTTGAAAATGGTATTTGGCAAGCGTAAATTGCTAGAAAAAAAGTCAGATGATATCATAGATATGACCCTGAGTGATGAAGAAACTGCTCCTACTCCTCTTGCTACAGAAGAGGTCTGCACCGGCAGTCAAAGTTCAAAACAGGATAGCAAAGATGAGAGACTTTTATTAGAAGAAGTAACCTTTGTTGGAGCTCCAACCTCTAAAAATGCAGGGGGTGCCAAGGTTTGGATATGTAAGCATTGTAATCAAAGATTTACAGGCTCTTACACTAGAATACATGTCCATTTTTTGGCTCTCAACCGGGGAAGAAGGCTGAAATCAAACGGTGCCATGCTTTAATCAACGATCGGCAGAAGTATGAACGCTTGTTGAACAAAGTCAAGGTGGCTGAAAAGGCGGGATTCTCTCGATCCTTGAAAAATTCTGTGCTCAATAAACCACAAAGTATTCTTTCAAAAAAACCAATTCAAGACTCCTTTGGAATAATGGAGAGAAGTATATTGGATTTGAAAATCATGAGAGGATTGTGTGCAAACGGTATTCCCTTTAATGTACTGCGCAATCTTAAATTTATAGAAATGGTAAGTGCCATCAACAAGGCACCCGCATGTTACAAACCTCCATCCAGTGAGAAAGCAAGGATGGTTTTGCTAGATGAATGCGTTAGAGATGTGGAAAAAGACCTCACACCGGTTAAAGATACTTGGTATTCACAAGGTGTTTCCATCGTATCCGATGAGTGGTCGAATATCAAGCACAAGCCCTTGATCAATGTCATTGCCATCAACAGTCGCGGTGCAATGTTTATGTACGCGGAGGACTTCTCTGGGTTGGAAAAAACCGGTGTGACAATTGCGAATTTCTTGCTTAGAGAAATTGAAATCGTAGGACTGAGCAATGTCCTTCAAGCTGTGACCGACAACGCATCGAATTGCAAAGCTACGGGCAGGGAAATTGAGAAGGTACATAAACACATCTTTTGGTCTCCTTGTTGTGTTCATACCTTGAATTTGATTTTCAAAGATCTTGCCAAAGAACTTGATTGGTTGATGAAATACATATGCGAGAGGGAAAGTTATTGTGAAATATTTTCTTAATCACACCCAAGCGTTGGCAATTTTTAGAGATAATTCAAAGCTGGAGTTGTTGAAAGTTGACAAGCCTAGATTTGCGTCACATTATATTTTGTTGAAAAGGTTAAGAGATTGTAGAGAGTCCTTGCTACAACTATTGCCCTTAGATCTTGGAGGGATTGGGTGAAGCAAGGAGATGAAAACACTAGAGTGACCGGACTGTTAGTCGCTGATACTATTAGGAGTGAGGAATTTTGGGATGATGTGGATAATATTCTTGCAATAACAAAACCAATTTTCTTGTTAATCAAGTTTTGTGATGGTGAAGGATCGAAAATGGGGGAAATCTATGAAAAAATTGATAATATGTTGGGAGAAGTAAAAGATATCATGGCTACAAATCAATACGCTTCGGACTTTCCAAAAGTAGAGGCTATTGTGTTAGCTAGGTGGGAGAAGATGACTATTCCCTTGCACTGTTTGGGTTTTGCTTTATCTCCACAATTCTATGATTTTTGTTATCTCGAGAAATTAGCACCCGGTGGAGTTGCTAGAAAAGCTCCAAATTTGGACAAAGAAGTTGTGTTTGGTGTGATGGAGGTTTCTTAAAAAATTGGTGAAAACCAAGAAGAACAACGGCTCTTGAGAGAACAATTTGCAAGGTTTCACATGAAGAAGGGATTATTTTCTATATGGCGGCAGCTCAGATAGATGTGGTGACTATGGAGTCCATCAATTGGTGGTCAACATATGGTTCAAAGACACCTAAGTTAGCGGAGGTTGCAAAAAAAGTTTTGTCACAACCTATAAGTAGTTCCTCGGCTGAGAGGAATTGGAGCACCTACTCTTACATTCACGTGTGAAGAGAAATCGTTTGAATTGTAAACGGGCTGACAAGTTGGTGTTCATTCATTCAAACATTCGTCTTCAATCAAGTTTTTCTGAAGGTTACAAAGTTGGGCCGAATAAGAAGTGGGACATTAATCCTGAAAGTGCGTATGTGGAAGGGTCAAGTGCAAGACTCGATGAGCTACAATGGGAAGATTTAGAAGAAGATGTTGGTCCAAGTGATAAAGGAAAGAGGCCAAGGCTTGACTAGTTTTGTTGAAGTTTGTTTAATGTTTATTACTTTATTTCCTCTTTTGTTGAAGTTGTTGCTGGAATCCTTAAACTTTGTTTACTGTTTTATATCTTTATAGTTGTCGCAAACATTGTTAAGTTTGTTTAATGTTATTGAAGTTAATTGTTTAATGTTATACTTGTATTATATTTATACTTGGTAAATTCAATATGTTTATGGTTTACCGTATCATATACAATGGGTACAGCGTACCGTGTACCGAAATCGCGTACCGAAGAAGCCTACCCCCTACGTATCGGATTTTTAATTTTGGCGATCCGCATTCCAGTTTTCGTACCGCGTACCGAAGTGTACCGCGATCCATGTGACTATAGTCCTGCCTTTTATCCCATAAAGTTGGATATGATGTGACTCTAAGAACTTCAGTAGTTTTGTGATGGAGCTTGCCATGAGTCATCGGTAGATGTAATTAAATACACGATCAAATTTGATTTATCTGCAGGCTCAGGAAGCATATTTGAGACATTGCGTCTTGGCAAACCATTGATCGTGGACGTCAATGAGGATTTGATGGATAATCATCAGAGTGAATTAGCAGAAGAACTTGCTGATAGGAAACATTTGTTTTGTGCACGACCTCACACACTATATCAAACCATTGCTGATTTGTCCATAGAGTCTCTTGTTCCATATCAACCGGGTGATGCTAAGCCTGTAGCTGAACTCATTAGTAGGCATCTTGGTTTCCCTGAATAATGATCTGATCTTGGTTCAGAGTTGAAACAACTCAAACAAGTAGTC